CTTGTTATGTGTGTGAAATGTGGTAAAATTCGGTCCAGTGATAAGCGAGATAGCCTCCAGGTGTAGCCCCCCCCCTTAAATGAACAAAAAAAAAAGAACCCCAAACATTTTAATTAGCCTTATTGTAGTCCTAAGCCTGACACCAGCTCCGCTTGAGACCACAAAAGGGGTAAGTTCTGTTTTCTTCATTTTCATAAGTCGTGTCTACGACGGCCACCTATCTTAGACGGCCTCTTTTCTCCTTGTCAATGGATGGCCGTTTTACACAGGTTCGACAGAGTAAATACACTCACAGAAACACACACACACACACACACACACACACACACACACACACACACACACACACATACACACACATACACATACACACATACATAATATATATATATCTATTTATTTATTTATTTATATTTATACATATAAACAATATATATATAATATATTATACAATATACAAAATATGCATATGTGTATGATTTATACTCTTCTATTCTCTCACTCTATTAGTTTCTCTGCACTTTACTCTTTCTCTAAATCCTTTTTACTGATTATGATTATATCTTTTTAAAAAGCTGGGGTGGGTTTTTTTTTCTTTTTGTTTTCATTTTGCTTTTGTTTGTTATTGATTTTCGTCTATTTGTTACCATGTAAACCTGAATGTTTCCACTTTTCTGTTTGCCTTTGAGGTCGTATTTCTCGTGCTATCACACCCCTTCTCCCTCCCTTCCTCCTTCCGGGCGATGGCCCCGAATTATCAGTTTATTAGTACCTGGACCATATCGCTTTCTAGCTCTGCCATTGATCATTAGTTTTCCAATCAGCATGCGGGATGCAGGTCATCTTTGTTTGACCTCTATAACACCTCCTTTCCTCTCTTCTCTCTTTCATTCATCAACACCCTTTTGTGTCTCTTTTTTTTCATCATTTCCTCCATTTCTCTCATTCTTTTTTAAAATCGCTTTTCCCTGTTATTTGCCCTTTGTTTATCTCTCTCCCTTCTTTCATTCTCTCAAACGGTATCTCCGCCACCCCCACCTCTTTTTTTAAAACTCTCTCTCTCTCTCTCTCTCTCTCTCTCTCTCTCTCTCTCTCTCTATTTCACACACACACACACACACACACACACACACACACACACACACACACACACATACACACACATACACACACATACACACACTCTCTCTCTCTTTTTCTTTCTTTCTTTCTTTTTTTCTTTCTTTCTCTCTCCTCCCCACCTGCTCTCCTTCCTCTCTCTCTACTCTTCACCTACTTCCTCTTCCCCCGCTCTCTGTCTCGTTAATCCTCCCCCTACTCTACCCCCCCCCCAAAAAAAAAACACACCAAAAAAACAACCACACACACACACACACACACACACACACACACACACACACACACACACACACACACACACACACACACACACACACACACACACCAAGATTTTTCCAAGCTTAAACATATCTTCCCATCCCTATGGAATCATGAAAAGTTCAATTGAAGCTGACGATAAAGCAAAGGAAACAAGTAAAGAGTTTGTTTTTTTTTGGTTGTTTTTTCAATGAAAGGTGAAATAATATGATCTCTTCAGAAAAGATACATATAAAAAGAAACAAACAAACTAAGAAAAACACACTTGCCTATGTTTGGAGTTTGAATCCACTTAAAGTCACTATTGTTGCCATTCTTCCTTGAACATTTTACGTCTTATTCAAGGTTACCGTGTTGTCGGCGTATTGGTTATTATTTATAGTCTTGAATTTCCCAAATAAAAAAATCTTTGTTTTCATTCGTATTGGTCAACTGTGCCCTTATTTTTTTGCTATTAGACATTACGGGAAAAGATACAGGGATATCAGTAACAAAATGGCACCGTCAAAGAGCTAGCAACTCGATCATTTTGAAGATGTCGACAAAAAAATGATTCCATTTTCGGCTAATACAATGACATGTACTTGGGCTTTTTGTTTAACTAAATGAAAGACAGAAAGATAAAACTAAGTTCATGTAGGTCCACTTTTATAGTTTTCTCACGATCAAAGCCACCTGTCAACACAACCAACAGTCTTTCAGAGATAGATAGATAGATAGATAGATAGATAGATAGATAGATAGATAGATAGATAGATAGATAGATAGATAGATAGATAGATAGATAGATAGATAGATAGATAGATAGAAAGGAGTAGATGGGTAAATTAATACGCACACACACATACACACACACACTCACACACACACACACACACACACACACACACACACACACACAC